CCACATATGTTAATAAACAATACAAAAAATATACATCAATTCTATTCCAAATTTGTATCAAACCACATAAGAAGAAAATATCAAACATACATATTCGCACTTAGAGATGGTGTCCAACACCATACTACTTGCAAAAAGGTGACGCTCGGCGTCCTATAGTTAAAATGCTTCAGACCTACAGTACAAGGATGACGTTCAACAATACTCTAGTGTCACTCAACTGCAAACCATTTGCATAATTGGACACTCAATATCACCCTGACCCCTTTCAACATTATCTCATTTATATCATAGGACGCTTATTGTTACCCTAATGTCATTCAATACTATAATAAATATCAAACCTATATATTGTATTATTTAAAAAAGCTTACACCCTTTTGAATGATCAAATTAATAAATATTTATTTTCTCAATAAATTGGTTTAAAATAATTTTAAATATGAAAACTTATATCACTTAATTGCTCATATTATAACTCTTACAACCACAAAATCAAATCCAAACCAAATATTTCATCTAATATTATTTTTCTTTTGTTATACACAACTCATATAGTCTTACATTAAATAATATTAATACAATTTTGTTATTTTGTTTTAATAAGTATAAATATTATCAAAACACAAACAAACCATAAAACAAATTTCAAACACATGCTCGTAAATGTGTGTCGCTTAACTCTAATCATATAACATTATTATACTCAAATATAATGAAATATTTTGTTCTATTAGATTCGGTTCTTGATTTCAATTTGAAATCTGAATCAAATTGTTTAGTTTAGAAAAAAAAGTAAATATAGAGAAAATAGAAGAACATATGGGTTTGATTAATTTTCACTTTTTTTATTGAATCTCTGTTAATTTTTCAGGCTATTCAATTTTAAACACCTAGAGCACCCGACATTATGAATTGTCTATTGAAAAAAAATAACTATTTTTAGTTCTATTGGCAGGAACTGAGCACACATTTCATACACGCTTTAGATTCAATGAAATAGACCTTCATTTTATAAATTACTTTTATTTTGAGTCCTTCTATGTGTTTGTATGCGATTTGTAAACGGTAATGAGAACACGAGGTTTGCTGTTTTTATATGATTTGTAAATTTACTAAACTTTAATGGTCCCATTCTACAAAAAATATTGATATAATATATAATCACAATTAATATTAACTACATAATCAGTTGATAATAATTTGATTAATTATTTATAAAAGCATAGTTCATTTATTTAAATATTATTAATATATTTTTGAGAATGAGATTAATTTGTTTCATATGAAAAAATGGTTTAAGAAAAGACAAGTATGAATATTTTATTACTTAAGTTAAAAAGCTTATAAATAAACAAAAAATTATTCAAACTCTATACTATAAAATCGTCATCTTTCCAAAATATTATTTTCTGTTTTTTTTTTATATTTTCAAATAATTATTCATCATATCATAAATTTTAGTTCACATGGTGAAAAGTAAAATAATTTTATTTAGTCTAGAAGATGTTTTTTTAATTTTTCTTTTTCTTTTATTTTCTTAGGTACTTTTATGAAAAATGATGCATGTCTAAAATTAAATATTTTTATGTGAAGTTTATATATAAAGATAAATATTTGTTAGTACAAAATAGGTCATTATGTGTTTAGATTGTTGATAATAATATTTTATAAGTGAAGTTGAAAGTTTAAAATTGATTAAGTTATAAAGATTAATAAAGCTAGTTATAATTTTGATAATATATTATGATTAGGATATAAGATTTGGACTATGGACGAACGTGATCAAAAAATTTTGCGTAGTGATTGTGTTTTATTTGAGAATATTGACAATTTTTTTAGGCCAAATTCATTAAGTGAAGAAGTGAAATATTTATTAGTTAAATGATTATTTTGCTTTCTGGATGAGCATAACCTTTGGTTGAGTGAGAGAAACTGTAATAAATAAATTTAGACATGTATTTAATTCACTAAGCAAACATAACGGTGATCAAACAAAATGTTTTATAAACTTTAAAAAATATGTTTTTAAAATATCTCTAAAATGCTAAAAATGTTTATTTTTTGTTATTTTTTTATATTTTATCAATATATTATATTTGAACAGAATTCTAATGTGGTGAAATAATAAATTGAAATTTGATATTTAAATTGAATCAAAATGTATATAAAGATAAATATATGATGTTAATTAGTTGCAACACAATGTGTTATAGGCGAATAAGAAAATATTGTATTAAATATTTATGTTATGTATTGAATTTGATATTTTGGAAGACATATTTTAACTCTACTAATATTAAAGTCACAAAGAAAAATATGAGATCCTGAGAGTAAAAAAGAGTCTGTGTAATTTAGTTTTAAGTGTGTGAATATGTCATGTATCCTTAATAATTCATTGGAATTTACTTTATTACACATGTGAATGTATTCGTATTATGTAAATTTATTGTATTTTATGAGTCACTTTAATAAAGGACATGTCGATGTATTCGTGCTATATAAATATATTGTATTTTGTGAGTCACTTTAATAAAGGAGGTAATGTAAAATGTGTTTGTTATAATTCAACATGTTGTCTTTAAAAAAAAATACAGTTAATTATATGTGATAATAATGTAAGAAACTTCTAACATGAAATGTAATAAATGAATTAAGGGTTTTTACTTGATTTTTCTACATATTTTATGAATGAATTAGATGTGTGTATGGAAGAATATATGAATTTTTAGAATATGTGTATATGATTTGATATATACAATTTTTTTTTGGTGAAATTTTAAAACATTATCATATACTGTTTTACATCCTTTGTATATTGTTTTTAACTGGGATGATTGTATATTACGTGAGATCAACAAAAAAAATATATATATATATATATATATATATATATATTTTTATTTAGTATATTTTTCTTATATATATTATTAGTAATGAGTTAACTGTTAATAAATGTTAAGGTTATTTTTATAAAAAAAACTGCCTATCTTAAGTATATTAAAAGTTACTAAAAATGCAAGGATACATTGATAATCAATATTAATTGCATAATTTGTTGAAAATGATTTATCTTATTAATTATTAAAACATTATTAATTGATTTAGATGTTATTCTCTGTATTATTATAAAAAATATATTTCTATACCTACAAGAGGATACATATTTTTAGTGTATATTTTTACTTTTTTCTATTTCATTTTTAATAATATAATTATTAGACAATGTATACAACTGTCATTAGTTTTAATTTTATTCTTTTTTATCAATTTATTCAATTGATTTTTATATTTTAAATTTGGATTAACTTTTTTACTAAATATTACTTATATATTATTTGGTAATATTTTGCAGTTTGTTATATTTTAAAATTTAGATTAAAAATTTTACTAAAAATTATTTATATTTTATTTAGTAATACTTTATTGTTTGTTGTACTTTTAAATTTAAGTTAAAATATTTATTAAAATTTATTTATATTTTATTTGATAATATTTACGTAACTTACAAATAATTTAGTTACTTTTATTAATTTAAAAATTTTAATGTACATTGTTTTGTGCTTATAATTTTATAATTCCAAAATTTTGTTTTTTTTATAATTTCATTAACTATTTATTATTCTAAAATATTTTTGTTTCGAATAGTGGGTCAAGAGTTATTTCTTCACATTTTTACTCTTCAAATCCGGTACTTGTCAAAGATAATGTTCAAATTAATTAATTATACGGTTATTACAGTGAAGTTAAATGTTTAATAAATGTAATCACTAATCTCTTTATTTTGTCTTTGTATTTATACATTACAGAATGAGTTTTTGATTAAAATTGACCTAATTATGACTTAATGTCTCTTAAGTACATTTTATATTGTTAATATTTTTAGTTTATGTTAGTGATTTTAATATACAAAGTACCAGTTTCAGCGAAAATTGCTCGACCAACGAAATTTAGAATATTTTTAGTGAAAGTTGATCGATCGATTCCTTTGAAAATGCACCAATCAAACTGTCTATGCTATACAATTTTTAACATCTCATTTTACTTGCACAAATTAATGAATTTGAAAAAATTACACTAACAAAATATTTAAAAATTTGGTTTAATAGCCAATTTAGTCCTCACTTTGGTTGAAAAATCTCAATTTAGTCCCTCGTTATAAAAGTGTTTTGAATTAGTCCTAACTTTTAAAATAGTGGGTCAGATTGGTCCTTTCTGTTAAATATAAGTTAACAAAATTAATGGATGATGATGTGACACAACTTAAAGCTAACGAGGGACCAATCTAACACATCAGCTTTAAGCTGTGTCACATCATCATCCATTAATTTCGTTAACTTATATTTAACGAAAGGGACCAATCTGACCCACTATTTTAAAAGTTAAGACTAATGTAAAACACTTTTATAACGAGGGACTAAATTGAGATTTTTCAACCAAAGTGGGGACTAAATTGGCTATTAAACCTAAAAATTTATACCTGACGGATAAGGTACGTGTACTCTTAGTTATTATATAAAGAAAGTTACTTTTTTTTTTATTTTCACATATTTTTTCAATTACAAGTGTTTTTATTTTATTTTATACCATTATTTTATTTTTTATGTATACATTTTTTTTTAATTTCATCCTTTAATAAATAATATTTTTTAACTAAGATAATCATCTCACAAATCATACCCTTGAAAGCGACTTCTTTTAAATTTAACAGAATTTTATTGTTAATTTGATCGCTTTTATTGAATTTAACCACTTTTAAACTAAACTACTTATTTACAATAAAAATATTACTTACAAAATAAGTAGAAAGTATTTTTTTTTCTAAAAAATATTTATATTTTATTTTTACAACTAAAATTTTATTATTTTTATCATCATAACAAAAATAAACACCCTTACACATATTCCATGTATTTATAAAATTATTTATCTGATTAATTGTCATAACATTATTAATTGATTGAGATGTTATTATTAGTGTATTGTTATAAAAGAGTTATTTTATATATATATATATCCTCTTAAACCTCCCGTTCTGGAAGATGGCACCTTTCTCCCCTCTCACTGTCTTTCCCTCCTTTCATGTCCATCTGCAGCATCTACTTTTACTTTTCCTGAGCACTGAAAACAACAGACATTGTACCTCAACCATGGCCCTTCCCTCCTAAATTTCCCCAATCATTCAAAAACACAACCACACACCAACCCCACCACAACACAACACAAACCAACTCCTCAAAAATTAACATCAAACCACCACATCTTAACCATCTCTTTGTCAGACACCACGCACTAAATCCAATATGCAAATCCTCTACCTCGCCATCATTTCCATCTCTCTCCTTCTCTTTCACAACACAAACACCATCGTCCTAGTCCGAGCCCTCACCTCACCCTCAGACATTGCAGCCCTCAGAGCCTTCAAGGCCTCCATCAAACCATCATCCATCGCACCCTGGTCTTGCCTTGCCTCATGGAACTTCACCACCGACCCCTGCTCACTCCCTCGCCGCACCAGCTTCATCTGCGGCCTCACCTGCACCCCTGATTCTAAAACAATCAACCAAATCACTCTCGACCCTGCAGGGTACTCAGGCACACTCACCCCCCTAATCTCTCGACTCACACAACTCACCACACTTGACCTCTCAGACAACAACTTCTTCGGCTCAATCCCCTCTTCAATCTCCTCCCTCTCCAACCTCCAAACCTTAACCCTCCGATCCAATTTCTTCTCAGGCCCAATCCCTTCCTCCATAACTACCCTCAAATCACTCCAATCTCTCGACTTTTCACACAATTATCTTTCTGGGTATCTACAAAACTCCATGAACTCCCTCGCCAAACTCCGCAGACTCGATCTCAGCTTCAACAATCTAACGGGTTCAATCCCAAAACTCCCACCCAACTTGCTCGAACTTGCGATCAAGGCCAATTCTCTATCTGGGTCTCTCCAAAAACAGAGTTTTGAAGGGATGAACCAGTTAGAAGTGGTGGAGCTAAGCGATAACGCCCTCACCGGTACCGTGGAATCGTGGTTCTTCTCTCTACCGTCCCTGCAGCAGGTAAATTTGGCCAACAACACCTTCACAGCGGCGCAGATCTCAGGACCACACCCGGACCGTGGGGGAATCACCAGCCGCAGTAACCTCGTGGCACTCGACCTTGGGTTTAACAGAATCCAAGGCTACGCACCCGCGAATCTCGCTTCGTTTCCCACACTGTCATTCCTGTCGCTTCGGTACAACGCCTTACGTGGCACGATCCCTCTGGAGTACGGCCAAATCAAGTCCATAAGGAGGCTCTTCCTCGACGGAAACTTCCTCTTCGGAAAGCCACCACCCGGGCTTGTCGCTTCCGGCACGGAGGTTACCGGAAGTCTGGGGGACAATTGTCTGCAGGAGTGCCCAACCTCGTCGCAGCTGTGCTCGCCCGCGCAGAAACCAATCTCAGTTTGCAAGCGAGCCTACAGTGGTAGACCAACATCGATACCTGTTGTCGGTTAAAATAAATTAAAAATTAAATATAAATAGATAGGTTTGTACCTGTTTTTTTAAAAAGGTATATTGTTGAAATGCGTTACTACTGAATAAAAGATGATGGTAGAAGTGAAATAGTGTTCATACTTTCCCTGTTCTTGCTAAAGATGACATTGACATTTTGAATTTTTAAATAATTTAGATTACAGCTATCCCACACAAATGAGAACACATGTGTCTGATATAGTGCTGTGTATTGATTTAGTTTGAAAGGTTTAGATATGAAGTTTGTGATGGGCCCAGCAGCGTCCACCATGAGAGACCCATATCTGTTGTGGAGTTGAAGGAAGCTCCGTCCCTTCCACCGACTAGCCGTCAAAAAGTCTTCTTGTATACATATGATCTAATGAATCAAAAACAAAACTATAAATAATGACACTCCCTCCCTTTATTGGCTTTCTTATCACACGTGTTTTAAGAAAAGTCATGTATTAATGCATAATCTTATTTTGGTTAATTGAAATTTGATTCAAATCAACTCGTACTTGAGTGAGACCTACTTTGTGACCTCTTCACATCTTAGCTATTATATATGTTATATTATTCTTATAGAGCTACCTGGATTTATTATGTGCAATTACAAAATATTATGCTACATTTTTTAACTATTTTGTGACTATTAGTTATTTTTTAATTTTAATATTTTAAGTTTGGTTATAGGATTAAATAGTTAATATTATTGTAAGGAAAATGTTTGTGTCGGAGAAAAAAAAAACTGTTTGAAATGATTAGGAATGTGTTTTTCAAAGCGTAATAAACCACCTGTTAAATTATTTAACTAATTTATAAATTAGTTTAACCAACAAATATTTTTTAATTTTTTTTTAAGTATTTTAATTTATTTATTATTATTTTTATGTTTTATATAAAATTTTAATTCTAATTGTTAAGAATTTAACGAGAATTTGAAGTTTTATATTAAGTAAAATATACAACTAGAAGATCCACAATCTTAATGTTTTAAGGTTTTTGAATTAAAAATGATGTTTAATATCTTATATAGTTTTGTTCATCATTTTCTAGTAGCAAATCTCATCAGTGTTTCTCATAAAAAAATGTTATCATTGATATATGTGAAGTCTTAGACTTATGTTAAGAGTAGAAAATTATTTTAAATTTTATTATTAAAATGTCAAAGTTATAAATATATTTTCATTTAAATGGATTTTATTTTATATAAACATTAATCTCTAAAAAAAATTTCTTTAAAACTCGAATATCTTCTTCCTATGATTATAATACATTTTTCATCTTGAAGATATGAGTACATCTTAAAATTCTTTATATTAAAAACAACAAATTTATTTTAAAAAAATTGTTTATAGAGTAATTTTTTATTTATTTATTAATTATATAAAAGTGTGTTCATATAGATAACCTAAGTTTATGTGTAGTAAGAGTTATTTAAGAATTTTTGGTCTTTGGGATATTTGTGAGTGAGGGAAAATTTTCACTAAAATCACATAAGAAAATAATTTTTTAAAATTAGCTTATGAGTAATTTAAGTTTGAAAACACATGTGAAAAATCTCGTGTTTCAATGATTTTAAAATATTTTTCTAAAACATGCTGAAAAAGTCATTTTTTAAAACACGCATTTTATGTACATTAATTTATTGTACTAGCTAGCATACACGACTAAGATTATATTTTTAAAATGAGATTGTATTTGTATCTTTGACTTCAATTAAATATGTAGTTCTGTTTACATGACTAATATATTTTTAACTAATGCATATAAGTGGTGTTTGGATCTAGCGTTTCCCTTTGCTTTTATTCTACTTTTTTTTGGCATTATTAGGTGTATAATATTTTTAGTACCAATATAAGTTTAGCCTGGTATCATAATTTTTTATGGTGTATAATATTTTTAGTACCAATATAAGTTTAGCCTGGTATCATAATTTTTTTAATAAATAACGTAATTTGTTGAGAACAAACGCTGTTTAACACCACAATAAAAAAAATGCTACCTTGTTCACTAGCAATATATATATTCCTAAAAACTGTGAAAATTTCAAAGTTTCATTACAATAAAATCTGCAGAATAATTTTGTAATGTCCTCCAACATGTAGGAGCTTGTTTCTCAGTCACAATTATGGAATGTTAAACACTTATTGTTTTTCTTTTGGTTTGTTTCACGATTTAAATAATAGTTGTGTGGCAACAGTTATGAAATTGACAAGTGAATGATGATGATGTTAATGATATGTATATTAGATTTCAAACCAATACTTATAGATGTTTAAGTTTGAACTAAACAATAATAATGTCCTAGTTAGTAGGAGTTGTTTATTTTCTTTGCATAAAAAAGATGATAATCATATCATAAGGCCTTATAAGATATGCTTTATACTGATTGATTGATGATTGGTTTAGGCTAATAAGGAAATTACAAATAAAACTTAAAGAAACCATATAAAATTAAATATAATTCATGCTTATATCATAAATATATAACTCTAAATACCCACTATTGAGTGAAATTTTTAATAACTGCTATTCCTTTTATTAAATTATCCAATTATATATATATATATATATTTAGTATGTTTGTTTGAAATTAGTATATTTAAATTCAATTTATCTCAATTTAAATTACGTATTTCGAATTTGACTCCTAAAGAAGTTTATAGCTGCTAATAATAATGAAAAAATTAGGATGAAAACTCTAATGACGATACCGACATCAATATTTTTGAACGCATTAGCTTTTAATTTGTATATATTATATATTACACTATATTATCAATTGGAATTATTATTGTAGCAACGCATTTAGCAAGTTTATAAATTTATGACGGGATAAATTTATTTTACGATGTGTAAAGTATGTATTTATCCCATTGGCTCCATCCATTACTATATATTATAATGCCCGTTCATAAAATTTTTTCATTATAATTTAAATATTTAACATCGTATATTCATTACGGTGTATTTTATTTAGGCTAGATATTCCTGTCTGGTCGTGTGTTTATAAATTTTTTTACCATATATTAATCATTTTTTTTATCTATACCAAATGAGCGATTTCAATTTATATTTGATTTCCTGAAATTTTTTTAATTTTAGTTCTAAGAAATTTGGATTTCTTTGTCAAATATTTAACTGTCCTTGTATTTTTTTTTATTAAATAGACCTAATGTATGAAACTAACACAATCAATCAGTTTAATTTTTTATTTCTTTTTATTTAAGTTTTATACAGTTAGTGTATCTTTATAGTTTAGTCTATGAAAACATGTTATTGCCATCACTGAGCTTTTGAGGCTAGAAAAAAAAAATTTAACTTCATTGACTTAAATGAAGTTTTCAAAAATATATAAAAATAACTGTTCTTTTTAATTAAGAACTAAAACTATTCATTCGGTGTACAAATCAATAAATTTTAATAGATTATTTTTTATAATAGTAGACTAGACATGTAAGGTCCTGGAAACTATATGGGCTATTTGGGCCTTATTTCTGAGACAAAGCCCGACCCCAAAGGGCCAAAGACAACATAACTAAAACCTTCGAAGGAGTTCCTTCATTTTCCAACTCTAAACTAATTTTCAGTCCACTCTTTCTCTCACTCTTCTGTCCTCTTCCCTCCTCTAAACTCAGTTTCATTTTCCCATTCCTCCTCCTTGCTCTGTCCCTTCTCTCTACCCTAACACTCATTTGAACCGTTGAAAATTTCAAATAGGTAGTGTGCTTTCGTTCACGGAGTTGAGAGCTTCCCTTTCATCTGATTGAAATTATGATTTGGACGGGTAAGTCAATTTCTCCACTCTTCTTGACCCTAGGGCTTGTTACTTTACTGGTTGTATGCAATTAGCCGTGCTCCATTTTGATTCTCTGTCTATTCTAGCTCTAAGAGCTGTTTTCATCACCATTTAGGTGGTTGTAGGGCACTGTTGGATTCTCACTGTGAGGGGCACGGTTAGGGCACTCTATTGTAAGGGGAGCTAATTATTTTTGTATGAATTATTTTATAAAATATATGCATAGGCATGTTGAACTGGTGTGCTCTTGTGAAAATTTGTTTTAATGCCTTTATTGTATTAGGTGTTTATAATTGAACTGTGACATTGTGCATGTTGTGATGTGATGAATTTAATTTGTTTTGAATGAGTTTTGTTGGTTGAAATTGATCTTGTTGGACGGTCGGGAGTAGGGTCTGTAATACCATGTATAATGGGTATTAAATAGATTTACCGTACTGTTGAGGTTTCTGTGAAGAGGAAGTAAAAATATTAAAATTAGGCAATTTACAGATTTAGAGCATAAGAGAACATGGTAGATAATTTAAATAAATTAATTTTAATTATTGAGAGCCTTTTCTTGTTGGGTAGGGACAGAGGAACCTTAAAAACCTGGGTTTTGGCAACATCCCTGAGCATAGAGCAGTCCTGGCCTGGTCCAGTCATTTGTGACTGTCATAATGTGCTTGCTTCGAAGGTGAGTTTGATCGTTCAGACCTCTGGGTTCCTCTCGATCACCATTGGGATAAAGAAAGATCTCTACTGAATGAATAAATAAAACCATTTAATTGTGATGCATAAGTTAGCATATGTTAATTTCAGTCAAATTATAATTTTAGAAAATCAGTCACTGTGTATTTGAAATTCAAATAAGGATCCATATATATATATTTAATATAATATATATATATATATATATATTAGTTACGTATATATTTAATATAATATATATTAGTTTAATATAATGTAAATATATAAGATAATGTATATATATTTATAATATAATTTAAATATTACATTAGCTTATCAATATATATATTTCCTTATATTACCCTCATCTCTAATTCTCTTACACTATCTCCGTCCTTACTATATCTATATCTCTCGCGAATAAAGTAAGGATAGTTTGTTTCTATATTGACCCGTGAGTATTATCAATAATTATATTAGTTGTAGGTATGTATAAATTGATGCCATTTTATGATTTTTATGGGTTAGTTGAGTTGTTTTTGGTTCTTGTATTGATTAACTTAGATTCAATTGTGGAATATGTTATTTTTTAATAATGTGGTGAGTGGTGAGTAATGTATATTGTTGAGAT